ATCACCTTTCTATCGCAGGTTTTTTTCCCTTTTTTTTAATATATGTCATATAAAGTTCCATCAATGTAATAAAAGAGCTCAGCCTTTGACTGACATAAGGTCAAGTTAGCTAAGACTTAACAAGAATAATGAAAAGTGAAAAATTTGCTCCATTAATTAACCCACTCAAACTTGAAGCATATGAACATTAACCACATTACATCTTCTACATCCCCCATATATGCTTGTCATCGCTAGCTTATCCAATTAACAACAACACCGAATCACTTTAGACCCTCACCAGTCTCTTCTTCTTTCCTATCAATCAGCTTTCACGAAAGCCCTTTCGAGTTTCAGCCTAAGCGTAAACCTATTTCCTTTCAATCAGAAGCCTAAGGTTAAACTTAGGGACAGAAAATATTTAACAGAAACTCAGTGCCACGCACCAAAGTCAGAACTTTCCCATCAAGAATTCCAACAATAACAACAACTAGCCTTACTCCCAAACTAGTTGGGGTAACTATATGAATCCCTAATATCTGTTCCATTCCACTACGGCCCATTTTATAAATATCCAATGTCAAGGCAGTACGTAGAACGGTAGAAGAACCAATAGTACTTTTCTTGCTCGCCAGGAGCCAAAGATATCAATTCCATTAACCACATAGCTCAAGCTACTTAACATAAGGAGAGAGCAATTTAACATATCAGCAGAAATTAAACCATGCAAAGTTTTTCGACTACATTTTTAAACACTGCAAAACTACACAAGAAATAGAACCAATCATAAACAATACGATCATAAGACTAGAATTCACCAGCTAGCTAACACAAATTTCGCACTTTATGTTAGCTGAATGAGTAAAGCTTCATTTTTTTAATATGCAATTCAGTATTAAAGTAGCAAACTTCACCGCGAGATACTTTTACAACATTAACCAATCCTGTTTTAGAACAACAGCAACAACAACAATCGACGATCAATCAATTAATCAACGTAGTGACTATGCTACAATCTAAACTAGTAAGAGCAGCACTTATTCCACTATTTGGGCACATTTTATTCCAATAAAAAATAATTTCTACTTGCAAGCAAAAAACAAAGAAGAGCAAATAGAATATAACTCCGAATACTAACCTCATCGCCCCACGATCGATATCTTTCCCTGAGAGGCCTGAGGCACATTACTGGACAAAATCCACCAAAGATGAACCATAAACTGAATAAAACTCTAAGCAAAACCCCATCATTTTTCCTCAAAAAGATCAAATTTTTAGCCACACCCATTTTAAGATCAATTCAAAGTCTTCTCCTTTAAGCAATTCTTGAACAACCCAGATGAAGAAATAAAGCCCATTACAGTTACAAAGAAGAGAAATTTTTTAAAAAAAATTAAAAAGAAGAAATACAAAAAATGGGGGTTGCTTAAAGTGAAGTCCAAACAACAAAAAATCAAGAGACCAATCAACTTCAGAGAAAATGAAAGCTCAACATAAGCAGAATCATTTGAATTGTTGATTTGGGGTTTACCAAGAATGCCTTCACTGGTCAATTCTTGAACCAGAAATTAAGAAACCCGCACTTGCATTTGTTTATTCAAAAACAGTTAGTATAAGTAAACATTTATCCCAATATTTTATTAATTAATTAAATATGTTCTAATACATGGATAAATAAAATGGGGGTGAGGGGAGGTCGGGGTTGGGGGTCAGTTATGCAGAAAATCTATTTAAGACTAAGCTAAAGAGCATTTGACAATAGTTTTCTCCTAAATTTCTTTGGTAAAAATGAAGTCTAGGTTCAGTGGTGTGGTCCCGTGTGGATGATAGTTTGACTGGTGGGTATGAAGCATAAAGCTAATGCTTGCCTACAGTTATGTGACATTGGGCCATGGAATCTTCAAAAGAGTTTTCTAAAGATCATTCTGAACGGTTGTGATTGAGCTGTCACCGAATGAAAGGGATGGAACCTGTTTCCTTATCTCTTCTATGTTGTTCTGGACAGGCTGACAAGTTTGTGGGCGAGGTGCACAAATAGCCGTTTCTAGAAACCCCATTTAAAAGATAGTCAAAATTTACAAAGTTTGTAAAGTTTAGCCGGGTCAGAATTAACTTAGCGGGTATGAAGTTTATGTTGCTCTGGATCGGCTAACAAATTCTGGGTGAAGTGCATAAATAGCCATTTTCAGGATGCCCTATTAAAAATTAGTTGAAATTTAAAAAGTTGTAAAGTTTGGCCGCCTCAAAATGAACTTCAAACATGAGCGTTTGAAGTTCTTTATTGTTTTAGACGGGCTGATTGATTGGGGGTGAAGTGCACAAATAGTTGTTTTTAGGACGCCTATTTAAAAAATAATTAAAATTTACAAAGTTTGTAATGTTTGGCCGCCTCATGATCAAAGGTTGACAGATTATGGACTAAGTTCACAACGTTTCTAGGATCTTCTCTATTTAAAAAATATTCAAAATTTATTAAGTTCGTAAAGTTTAGCTGTCTCGGAATCAACTTCAGACATGTGCGTCCGACTGAAGTTGAAAATCACATATTTGAAGTTTTTCTTATCTCTTTTTTGTTGTTCTGGACAGGCTGACAAGATTGTAGGTGAAGTGCACAACCTTTTAGGACCCCTATTTAAAGAATAGTCAAATTTTACTAAGGTTGTAAAGTTTAGCTTGGCATGCATGTATGATGTATAACTGAAGTTGAAAATTATGGATATGAAGTTTTCCCTATCTCTTCTTTGTTGTTCTGGACAAGTTGTCTGCTTGTGGATGAAGTGTAAAAGTAGCCGTTTTAGGCTAACTACTTAAACATCGAAATTTGCAATGTTTCTAAAGTTTAGCTGCTTCAAAATCAACTTCAAACATGCGCATCCAACTGAAGTTAAAAATCGATTAGTTTTAATTTTTTATGTGTTGGAAGAAGACGAAGAAACATGTTCAGTTTGAAACTTGCCAAAATTGACTAAATTTAAATAGTTGTTAAAGATTAAATATATTTAAATAGATATGTTACAAGCGTCTATAGTAAAAATAGTGCGGGCTAGCCAACTTTCGGACTGGTCATTGAAAAATAGCCAGTGTTTGCACAGTCATTGAAAAATAGCCACTATTTTACTGCAATACAGAAAATTCCAGCAGAATATACTGGAGATTGATGCACCTATGTATGAACTTCCAGCATATTATGCTGGACCGGTATGTTATACTGGAACTCCAGTATATTATACTATAATTCCAGTATATTATGCTGGAACATTTTCCGGATTTTGAACAATGTTTTCATTCAGATTTATCTAAGTGGCTAAATTTCAATTATTTTTAAAACTGTGGCTATTTTTCACCGACCACTTGTAAATCTTGCTATTTTTGAATTTGTCCCGCGTCTATATGGTGTCATTTCTAGGTGTTGTCTTTTAGATGGGCCTATAAATATATGGGAGACTAAGCATTTGGGCTTTGTTTGAAAGTTTATTTTTTTCTTTTTTATATGGGATTGTTACATTAATAGCCGGTTAGATTCACAATTTACTTTTTCTAATCGGTATACATAGGTTATACATTGATTATACACAATTATATATGAGTTTTACATATATTATACCTCCTTCAGCTATTTTTAATTTAAGAAATTAGGTGGCGGTCTATTTAAGTTAATTCTTCTTTTTATATTTCAAGGAGATAGGAAAGACTTAATTGAACATCAATGATCGTTGTTAAGGTTTTGAGTTCATTACACTATAGTTCAATTCGTAATCTCTTAGTTAGTTTGTTGAACGATTTACTACACGAGTAACCTATGTTATAGATGCAGTCCATGTTAGTTTTATTGATTAATTTGCAAATTGTTAAGAAAATGTATTAATTAATGTTGACTAAATTATACTAGTGAACAAATGATTATTTTATGTCAGTCGTTATCTTTTAATTAGAAAAAATTCATAACAGCGGGGCGACTCTTTCATACTTGAAAAGTAGATAAGTTAAAATCTTGTATATTGTGTGTTCATATCTATTAATTTTACCAGTACTTAATACTTATGCATTATTTTTTAATTTATTAAAGTACCAGTGAATATTTCAAGCTTTGTATAATTCCGGCGAGGCATTATGAGAATTACTTTTTTTGATTGTGTTACTAAAATATACACTGTTGTTTATTTCATTGATTTTTTTATTTTTTTTTGAAATTATACAGTTTTTCTAGCCTTTTGGGCAACTAATGGCTTTTTGGAGGAAAAAAATTGTTCAGCCATAAACTTCATCCAATTAGTTACACTTTACACTCCTCATAATAGCTTCTAACATTTGCAATATGATACACTAAGGGGGCGTTTGGACATAAGAATTGCAACATTCCGAAAAAAGTAAAAAGATTTTCAAGTGAAATGGTAATTTAAAAATTAGAGTTGTGTTTGGACATGAATAGAATTTTGAGTTGTTTTTGAATTTTTGTGAGTAATCTAGTGAAAATTTTGAAAAATAACTTTTTGGAGTTTTTCAAATTTTCAAAAAAAAATAAAAATTCGAAAAAAATGAAAAATTTCTCATGGCCAAATGGGCGCTAAGATTTTCAAGGATTCTATTCCCATTAGAACGGTGTTTTTCTTATTTGTATAATTAATTCTTTGAAGCAACATGCATATGATTTTGACTTTCAGATTATATGTAATTTAAATCTCCACAAACGGCCAGATATAAGTATTTTATTGCCAGATGTAAACAGTTATTTGAAAAGAAAAAAAATACAGTTCAATGGTCAAAGCTACCTCAGTAATTTATGAGATTTTAACATATGCACAAATTACACAGCTAAGACTTACCATATATTCCCAATGTAAATCAACGGTTATCTCATACGTCTCTAAATAAATACTGCTAGTCTTCCACTCATCAAACCTCAGGATGCTCTCTTTGTGGTCATTTTTGCAAATTTCTTCTTTTGGTTTCTGAACTCTCTGTTTTTCCTAATGGAGTCTCTTTTTTCACTTAGCTCTTTCTTTTTGATTTTTCTTGGCTTTATGTGCTCGTGTGAAGCTTATACATTCTATGCTGGTGGCACAAGTGGCTGGGTTTTAAATCCTACTGAATCTTACAGTCATTGGTCTGACAGAAATCGCTTTCAAGTCAATGATACCATTAGTAAATAATCCTTTCCTCTTCTTTTTCATCTTTAAAAAATAATACAAATACCTTTATTTGCAGTGGCAGAGTTGCATGTTATTTTTGAATTGAATCTGTTTTGTCAGTAAATTATACTGTAGAAATAGGGTAAAAAACAAATAATTTGTATATATATTAATTTTTGAATTTCCCTAACGTAAAGGAGTTAAACTATTAGTGTAGGGGCAAAGAATATTTGGGAAAATGACACTCTATAGCCGCTTTCAAACTAATAGTGGAAAAATATTTTTTTTGTATATTTATAAATTTTGTATATTATATATAAAAACTATACTAATTTTATACAATTTTTCGGCTACCAAATATGAATAGCTTGGCACAGTCTAAAAGTGAAAAAAGCTCAAGATGTTTCGGAAATTGTTTTAGATTGCCGATTTCAATTCTAGGCCGAACATTCTTTTGTTTTCTTAAAGGGATATTTACGCAAATAGCTTGTCGGATTCAATATTTATTTTTCATAGTCGATGTATGTTGATTATACACATATTACATGAACTATACATATAATATACATATTCCTGCTATTTTTAGTTTAAGCGGTTGAATGAGCGGCTATTTATACTAATACTATTTTTTCTAAATCTCATTGTTAGAATCCTGACTCTGTGACTGTCTAGATGTATACGTGTTTTTAATAATTTGACACTTGGTATTTCTTTTTTTTCAAACTTGCAGTTTTCAAGTTCAAAATTGGGTCAGATTCTGTTCTTATAGTTGACCAAGATGATTATTCCAAGTGCAACAAGGACAAGCCAATTCGTGAACTAAAACATGGTGATTCAAAAATCAAGCTTTACAGATCAGGCCCATTCTATTTCATCAGTGGACATGAAGATAATTGTGAGAAGGGCCAGAAGCTCAAAGTTGTTGTGTTATCTCCCAACCATAAAGCCCACAATGCCTTGAGCCCAGTCACTGAGCCCATTGGGTCAGTTTCACCAGCCCCGTCTCCGGCCCAATCGGCTGCAGGGTTTACTGTTAGTCCTAGTGGTTTCCTTTGGGGCTTTAGTTTGATGATAGCAGCATATATCTGTATCTTGGTTTAATTCTTACAGTTTTTTTTTTAATTAATTCTTTCAATTAAATGTGATTTAATTGCTTTTGATTGAACAAAATGGTATATTGAAGCGTCATTGGTATATTCGAAAAAATGTTGAGAAGGCAAAAACTGAAAAAAGGAAAATTCGAATTTTTTATTCAAACAAATATCATTGCTCAGTTTTGACACAAACTAAAAGAATCTAGGAAGAACTGTAATATTTTTTTATTAACCTATTCGTATAAAATGAATTAACTTCGCACTGCTTCTAGCTATACTAGTCTAGCTTTATGGAGCTATACTAGCTATAAAATTACTTAGTCGTAATCATCGCCCGTTAGCTATAAAAATGCATCAAAGAGCTCCATAAAGTACTTTCAACTTTGGGTTTACTGAAAAAATTAGAATATGTTTATCATCTTGAAGTAACAAAAGTAAAAGAATATAGTCAACGAAATATCAAGCCACGCTAATAGTAAAATATAAATAGCCAATGACATTTTAAATTTTAATTCCTTAGGATTATGAAATTGTTGGTCTTTACTTACTTTATATGCTTACCAAAATTGCATTAATTTGTAGTTGACGAGTTTTGTGGATAAATATAAGTAAAAATTGCACAGGGCGCCCTATTTGGTTGCCCCTATTACTATTTTTTTAAAAGTTTTAACTTGTACCCACTTTTTAAATAACTTCAGTCCCCTTTCTCCTCATCTTTCTCCTCCTTCTTCTTTTTCTTCTTTCTTCTGCTGCTGTTTGTGCTGCTATGAAACTTCAGTTCAGGGGATGATTTCCATAAGTATGTTTACCAGATTATTTAAAAATAAATTATAAATAATTACGTAAGTTAGTGTCACGACCCGGATTTCCCACCCTCGGGAGTTGTGATGGCGCCTACTCGTAGAAGCTAGGCAAGCCACGAAATTTAGAAAATTCTTTACTTCTTTGTTTTAATCCTTTTTAACAACTTGCTTTAACATGTGATAAACATTTAAATAATAGCAGAATATGAGATTAAGCGGAAGACTTAAACAAAATAAACTAAAATAATACGGAAATCAACATATGCCTCTACCCAGAAACTGGTGTCACAACTTTCACGGACTATCTATGATTACTACATACAAACGTTTGAAAAAAGGAACATTGTCTGTCTCAGATACAATGATAACAGAACAAAATAACTAATAGAAGAGACGTCGGGCCTGCGAACGCCTGCAGGACTACCTCGGAATCTCGGTGGACTGAAGGCTAGCTCCCAAGCTACTGCTGTTGACCCGGTGATGCTCCGGTATCTGCACATAAGTGCTGAGTGTAGCATCAGCACAAGCGACCCCATGTGTTGGTAAGTGCCTGACCTAACCTCGGCGAGGTAGTGACGAGGCTAGGACCAGATTCCAGATAAACCTGTGCGATTATATATATATATATATATATATATAGCAGAAAAGAAATACAAAACTAAACAATTAAAACTGGGGAGGGGAAAACATGCTTTGGGGAATAACAGATAAGGCAGAATCTCAATAAAATTATAAGGAAACCAAAATTTAACTTCTAACAAAGATAAAGAAAATAAAGGCCAATTTCACTTTCAGTTTACATCTTGTTGCAGGCGTGCAACCCAATCCCATTTCTCATATCTTGTGGTAGGCGTCCCACCCGCTCCCATTTTATTAAATCTCGGGGTAGGCGTACCCCCCGCTCCCATTTCATCTTATCTTGTGGTAGGTGTACCACCCGCTCCCATTTCATCACATCTTGTGGTAGGCGTACCACCCGCTCCCATTTCATTAAATCTCGTAGTAGGCATACCACCCGCTCCCATTTCATTATATCTTGTTGTAGGCGTACCACCCACTCCCATTTCACTATATCTTGTGGTAGGCGTACCACCCGATCCTAATTACAAGCCAACAATAATCACAAGGAATCCCGGCAAGGGAACAAGAGTAATATAACAACTTCTCGGCAAGGGAACAATGATATTTCAACAACATCCCGGCAAGGGAACAATACTATCAAAACAAACATCCCGGCAAGGGATCATTAATATCCAACAATCATCCCAGCAAGGAAAAACAATGGTGATAATAACATATGAAGCGCAATAAACCACAACGGAGTCATAACAATTATAATAGAAGACTCACGGGCATGCTTGACACCAACGTATAGATCCTCGTCACCATGCCTATACGTCGTACTCCACATTTAGCATGTAGCAATTAAGACACAACTCCTAATCCCTCAAGCTAAGGTTAGACCGAACACTTACCTCGATGCCTCGAACACAACTCAAGTTTCAATTATAGCTTTACCCCATTGATTCCTCCACCAATTCGCTCGTATCTAGCCACAAGTTACTTAATTACATTAATAAATACTAAATGAATCAATTTGAATGCATGAAAATGAGTTTTTCAAAGTTTTACCCAAAAAGTCAAAATCGTCCCCGGCCCACGTGGTCAAAACCCGAGGTTTGAACCAAAACCCGATTACCCATTCCCCCATGAGCTCAAATATGTAATTTGTTTTGAAATCGGACCTCAAATCGAGGTCCAAATCCCCAATTTTTGAAAAACCTTGGTTCTACCCAAAACACCCAATTTTTCCCATGAAAATCATTGATTTGAAGTTGAAATCATGTTAAAAGATGTTAATGATTGAAGAAAACTAGTTAAAAATAAATTACAATTGATTTGGAGAAGAAAGGTTGTTTGAAAAATCGCCTCTTATGTTTTTGGGGTTTTGAAAAATGAATAATGACTGAAAATCATACTCTTCTCAGACCCCCTGTGCGAACCGCACAAAATGGACTGCGGCCGCACAAGCCTTACTAAGGGTACTGCGGTCCAGTGCCATGTGCGGACCGCACAAAGTCGAATGCGGTCGCACAACAGTGCGCCTGTGCGGATCGCACAAAGTCGACTACGGCCGCATAACCCTACACCGCGCACCGCACAAGGCCGACCGCGGACCGCACTGGCGGGTTCAGAGGCCTGCAACTTCTGGTTTTAAGCCTAAAACATCCCGAAACCTATCCAAAACTCACTCGAGCCCTCGGATCTCCAAACCTAGTGCACACAAAACCTCAAAAACATCCTATGGACTTATTCGTGCAATCAAATCGTCAAAATAATATCATGAACATCAAATTAAATCTCGAGATCAATGAAATTTTCTCAAAATTTCATTAAACATCAACTTTGCGATTTAAGTCTGAATCACGTCATATGACATCCGTTTTTCACCAAATTCTACAAAAATATCTTAAATCATATATAAGACCTGTACCGGGTGCCGCAGCCAAAATACAGGCCTGATACCATCATGTTCTAAGCAAAATTTCATTTCAATTTTCCTTAAACAATTTCAAAAAACAATTTCCTTTAAAAATTCATTTCTCGGGCTTGGGACCTCGGAATTCGATTCCGGGCATACGCCCAAGTCCCATATTTTCCTACGGACCCTCCTGGACCGTCAAATTATGGGTCCGGGTTCATTTATTCAAAATGTTGACCGAAGTCAAATTTATTCATTTTACAGTTAAAACTTATCATTTTTCGCAGATTTTCACATTTAAGCTTTCCGGTTACGCGCCCGGACTGCGCATACAAATCGAGGTGGTTCTAAGGGAGGTTTTAAGGCCTCAAAACATAGAATTTCATTGCAACACAAGTGATGACAAAAGGTCATCACATTCTCCACCTCTAAAACAACCGCTCGTCCTCGAACGGACAGAAGAAGGAAGTACCTGAGTCGGGAAAAAGATGGGGATAATGGCTCCGCATATCGGACTCGGACTCCCAGGTCGATGCCTTAGGAGGCTGACCTCTCCACTAAACACGAACAGAAGAAAACTCTTCGATCTCAGCTGAATAGCCACCGGCTCCTCCTCATAAGATAAGTCCTTGTCCAACTGGACAGTACTGAAATCTAACATGTGGGATGGATTGTCGTGATACTTCCGAAGCATGGACACATGAAACACTGAATGCACGACTGATAAGCTCGGCGACAATGCAAGTCTATATGCCACCTCTCCCACTCGATCAAGAATCTCAAATGGGTCAATGAACCTAGGGCTAAGCTTGCCTTTCTTCCCAAATCTCATCACGCCCTTCATAGGCGACACTCGGAGCAATACCCGCTCACCGACCATAAAATCCACATCTCGAACCTTGCGGTCTGCATAACTCTTTTGCCTTGACTGAGCTGTACGAAGCCTATCCTGAATAATCCTGACCTTGTCCAAGGCCTCCTGAACCAGATCCGTACCCAACAACCAAGCCTCGCCCGGCTCAAACCATCCAACCGGAGACCGATACCGCCTACCATATAAAGCCTCATAAGGAACCATTTGGATACTCGACTGGTAGTTGTTATTGTAGGCAAACTCTGCTAAAGGCAAAAACTGATCCCACGAGCCTCCAAAGTCAATGACACAAGCTCGGAGCATATCCTCCAAAATCTAAATAGTCCGCTCGGACTGCCCATTCGTCTGAGGATGAAATGTTGTGCTCAACTCAACCCGCATGCCCAACTCTCGCTGAACTGATCTCCAGAAATGCAAGGTAAACTGTGTACCTTGGTCCGAAATGATAGACACAGGCACGCCATGAAGATGAACAATCTCCCAGATATAGATCTCAACTAACCTCTCGGTTGAATAGGAGACTGCCACAGGAATGAAATGCGCTGACTTGGTCAGCCTATCAATAATAACCCACATTGCATCGAACTTCCTCTGAGTCCGTGGGAGTCCAATAACAAAGTCCATAGTGATCCGCTCCCATTTCCACTCAGGAATCTCAATCTTCTGGAACAAACCACCAGGCCTCTGATGTTCATACTTGACTTGCTGACAATTCAAACACCGAGCCACATATGCAACAATATCCTTCTTCATTCTACACCACCAATAATGCTGCCGCAAATCCTGATACATCTTCACGGCACCCAAATGAATAGAGTTCCGGGAGCTATGGGCCTCCTCTAAAATCA